GTTGGACAGGTGTACCTAATAAAGTGGCCGGTGAGTGTATTTATACAATATATATTTATATAATTTTCTCTTCATTTGTTTGGGGGTCCCAGACTGAAAAACACTGAAGAAGACCCTTGCCAGAGGACGTTATTTGAAGAATTGCTGTCCGTGGTGCTGAAAACCAACAAGTTTAACGTCAAAATAAATTTCTCGGTCCACAAAACAACGTTGTTTGTCGACTTGGTTCACTTTTCACAATGGCGCATTGTTCAAGGAGACCTCTCACGTTCAGTCTGTCTCACTGCATATTGCTCCAAATGTATGAGTAAGCAGAAACCGCGTGATGACGCGGGAACCTCCGGAGAGGAGCGGGGCTGCAGTGAGCGCTGCCTGCCTGCCGCCCACCCTCCAACTGGAAGGAGGCGGCAGCGGCGCCGGTCGCTCGGACGCGGGGCTGCGGCGCTGTCGTCTTGGCACAGCTTTGCATTGATCAGGCGGGACTCAAACAGCGATGGCTTCTGACACCCTGAGCGATTGTTTTTACTGCCGAGGGATGCCAGATATCCGCAGGAGCCCGGTGAGCGTTGGACTTCTTTAAATGTACCGTTTGTGGAGGAAGATTTTTTTTTTTTTTTGAACGGGCAGGGTGAATGCTGCAGCGGCGCACACCGTGGCTGCACTGCGGCGCACTCTCCGCTTCTGCTTAGTCATGATGCTGTGTGTGTAAGTGCGCGTGCGTGTGTCCCAAAGGAAAAGCATAGTAACCGAAGTGGTTACTTTTTAATGTGTTTGTCTTGGAAACGGTGAAAGAGAGCCAAGAAAATGTGACGAACTGCATAGAGCATGCAATATCTGCTGTTAGATTGTGTCCAATCCTGTAGATAAAACTGTATTACTTTAGGAAGGATAGACTGGCATTAAGTTCTGAACTATTGCTTTAAGGTTTATTTATATTAATGCCAGTTTTGCTTTAACACTTTGGCTTTTCTGTCAAAGTTGAACTGATTTATTGAATACAGTTAATTATGTCATATAGTTGTGATATATAGAGGTCATCTCACTTCCTGTGTAGTAGCTGTGATACAGGTGTTGTGTCAGAGGATAATGTCAGGTAATGTCTTCAAACAAATCTTTACTAATGTTCAAATGTCATTGTCTATTATTGCAGTGGTTCCCAAACTTGGGGTTGATACCCACAGTGGGGTTCTGAAACATCAAGGTGGGGTCCTGAAAAGATTTTCTGAATTAATTCCATGGATACTAAAAACAGTTTTTAATTTTTTATTTTATTTTATTTTATAGTTGTTGCAAAGGAATGTATGATGGAATATTAGGGCCACACAACAAGATTATTATTATTATTATTA